TGTTAGTGTTTAAGGAGCAAAGAATAACCAACAATATGAACACAAATCGCAATGTGAATCCTATAGAATTTGAAGGGAAATCGTGTTGTATACCGGCCTCCCAGCATGGAAAGGAACTTCAGGGCCACCAGTAATCTCAACAGCAACAACTCCAGCCAACTTCAATTCAAATAAAATTGAAAAAAAAGTGAGTAAGATTACAAGACCACAAACAAAGAATTGAAGAAGAAGAACCAGCTGTCCACCTGATAGAAGTCAGCATACGAGAGGATGGGGAAATGCTCCTTAAGTGGTTCCAACAGCCTCACAGCAATGTCAAGGCCATTGTTGGCTCCATGTTTAAGCTCTTCGGGGTGCTTCATTGTGCCAAAGGGACCTCCGGTTTTACTTTTCACATCATATGTCCCAGCTGAATGCCATCTGTAACACAGCATACAATCACTCAGACAATATCCAATACAACACCAATGGTCATGAATGCAAGTAAAACTCAAGTCTCAATGAGTCAATGACATCAGCAATCAGTGAATTGTTAACACAATACAAAAATACAGTTGAATGCCATAATAGAGACAAGACTATGCTACAAGTAAAAAACAGGTAGAATGTTAATACAGAGGATATCACATACACCATGGTTAATACAGACAATCAATACAAAAGTTAACCACCAACAAAACAGGAATAGGAATAATAGGCTACAAGACAAAATCAAAAGATACATAAGACAGCACATTGATCCCTTCCACTATAGGGATGAGACATCCTGTTATTCATTAATCAAACATTCAAACAAAACCTCCATCCGACTAAATGATACTACCCCTAACAAAAGTTTTAATTACTATGTAAAAAGTCAAATCATATCCATGAACAAAGTAATAAATGTATAAGGTCAAACTATAATTCTTTCATTAGATTTTGATTGAAGATTTAACAAAACAAAATAATCATTATCACATACTAGTATTTTGTAGAAATTTTGTTATAATTTTAGATATATATCATATTTTATTTTATTACACTAATTTTCAGATAAATTCAACTGAAAATAAGAATCAAGAATTTTTGAAGGAGTACTCCATATAATCCACACCCAGATTCCTACATCTTGGAGTTTACGGTATTTAACTTGAGCTTCTCCAAAAGTGAAGAATAAATCTCCTTTCGCTTGGGAAGGCAAAGTCAACTATAACATGAAACGAAAAGATGGGACAATCAAAAGCACACAAAAACTAGATCTCAAAGGGACGTACATAGTGACATACCACCAAACAAGATAAACACCATAATCAAATCCTAAACAAATCTAAATGGCAAAACATTCCACAAAACAGATAGAACACAAACCGCACAAAACGTATTAGCATAGATAAGTTACAGATACGAACAGATAACATCGATGACATGGTGGAACAAATATTAAGACATCAGTGAGAGTGCGAGAGTTTACGCTAGGCGAAGCATGAGAGGAGCACACTGTTTCTCGGCAATCAATCCTCTGAGCTTCTTCTTGCATTTCTCCACGGCTTTCTGATACTCTCCGCTCACAGTTGGATACGATTTCCCCATCGCCGATTACCTTCAGCTACAGAATCCCGATCTCAAAGCTGAAAATCGCAGATTTCCATTTCAAACAATGCCAAATTCAAACGAATATGAGAAAGGGAAAGAAAAAAATGAAACTTAATCGGATAAAATCAAAGGAAACGACTTCTCACCACAGACGACGAAGAAACCAGTAGACGAACGATCAGACAATGCGGTGGGAGGAAATGAAGAAAGGAAGAGGAAAATATATATAGCTTGAGAAGGGCCGGAAGATTCTAGGCTCTTTGCATTTACACTGCCTTGCTGAAATGAACGGCTCAGATCTAATCGTGAAGAGCAGCCAGTTTGGGGTTGATGGGCCGGTAATGGCACGGAGTAATGGGTAATGAAAAGTCGTCAGAGCGATCACTGGCCAATAACAATCCTCCACGTGTGCAAAGCTGTTGGGTATATTCGATTCAAATACCAGTGCTTTTCTACGGGACAGAAGTAGCGTGTATTATGTGAATGAGCAATGCTAGAGGTACACTACTCCCTTCTCTATCATACATTTTTATTTGATTTTTATTTTACTTATTTTTTTGAATTTTCTTGCCTTTTTATGGACAAAGAGGGGGTGTGAGACATATGCGGTATACATTTGGTGTACCCCTAACATTTTTCTATATGAAAAAATGTACTCACTATTTTTTCATAAAATTCTTCATTTAATTAGTAGATTTTATTTAAAAATGTTAGAAAAATAAAAACTTATGCTATAACTAAGCCAAAAAATAAGATAATAAATCCGTAAACGTAAGATACTTTTTGTGATACACAGAAAAAGTTGAAATGAATTTTAGGATTGAAAAAAGAACTGTACATTATAGAAAACTATACAATGCACCTTCGTGAACATAAATTTTTTCATAAAAAATAAATGTGTAAATTTTTAAATAGATACATATCTTTACAATAACAATAATAATTTAGTTGAATCCCACAAGAGTAAGAATGTATGACCAAAGAAAGATGTGTGTGTGCCGACATTATCCTTATTCGAAAGTTGATACTAAAATATTTTACAAAATACATTGTATATTTTTACACCTAAATAATAATTTTGACAATATAATTAGCTCATAATTTGGCTTGTGTGTTAACATTTCATTATTTTTTGGAGTTAAAAATCACATTGCACCCTCAAAAGATGTCTACAAGTTAAAATGCACCCTCACAATTCTCAAATGTTATATTGCACTCTCAAAAAGTATAGTTTCTCTCATTTTGTCTCTTAAGCAAATCGTAATGTTTTTCTCTAGGAAAAGAAAGGGTAAAACAATCTAGTCTCTCGTTAATTCTCGAGAAACAATTTACTATCCAAGCATACTGAACTAGATGCTTTTTTGAAATAATACTTCTTCAGGTCAACTCTAAAATATAGTACGGAGTAATAATCTTACTTTATTCATATACTATTCTATCCAAAAAAATTATTTTTAGTATTAGAAAACTAAACTATGTGATTTTTATTTATGTATTTTTTTGATCATTTGATAACATCAAATAATCAAATTAAATTATCATTTACTTTGTAGTAGATTTTTTTTGTTTCTAAATATATAATTTGATTTTTATTTATACACTAATTCTAAAAAATATTGAAAGGAAATCTGGTCAAATATCATAAACTAAAATTATTTTTTAGGACAGAAAAAGAATCATTTTTTATAGTTTTTATAATTTATACATAACTAAATAATATTAATGATTAATTTATATATATTTGAAATGAGTTCAAGAGGCAAAATTTGGTAAGAATACAAAATATAGTAATAACATAATATGAAAATCTATAGATAAGGTATAACATATTAAACATATTTTCTATATTAAACATTGCACCTACGGTGTCAATGGTAAAGATATGATGACAATGTTATCTCTAAAATCGAGAAATAGAAGAGATGAAAGTCTCTTTGTGATTCTGCACTCAAAGAGGATGATGGGACATATAGAACACGAAAATGTCCTAGAACTACTTTGTATCGAATAAAGTAATATCAACATCAACATGTTATGTTCGCTAGTGCTGAATAGGATTCATCGATAGGTAGACAATACTAGCTTTGTCACAGATAATAAGAGTGGATCAACGTAATGGTTGATGAAGCTCCAAAAGAAGATTCTTAATCTAGATAGTTTCCACGACTGCATTTGCGACAACTCGATATTCAGCTTCAACACTGGAGCAAGAGATAGTTGACAGTCGCTTTGAAGACCATGAGATGATATTTCCACCAAGAACACATAATACCATATGTGGACATCCTACCTAATCTGCATCGAAGTAAGCCTGAAATTGAATTGTGTTCAACTGAGTGAGACTTAAAAGTAGTACCATGCGAGGCTATTCCATGAAGCTACTTAAGCACCTGCCTCATTCTTGTCAGGTGATCGACACGAAGATCATGACGACAAAGTTTGAGCACATCATAAGTGATGTCTAGACACGTGAAAGCAAGATAATAGAGTGCCCTAATAATGGATTGATATAGAGTAAGATCACACACTAGGGGTCCGAATTTTGCAGCCAACTATCCTCTAGTGTGAATGAGAGCACATAAGGCCTTGAAATTAAGCATTCTAGCTCGCTCCAAAATCTCATGTGTGAACTATGTCTTATAAAGGAAGAGACTGTATTGAGTGCATTGAACATTGATGCCATGAAAAAAGTTAAGATCCCCATGTGAATCATGGCAAACTCGTCCTAAAGTCTCTAAATGATCTGATGCAAGAGTGAGGGTGGAGTAGTAATCACAATATTATCCATATACAAGAGTAAATAAGCCATCCCCTAGGCCATGCCCATCAACTTCTAGATTATAGCCTTTTGAAAATATTGAATTATTATTCTAAGATTCCTCTCACCTCATACCTCTTTTATTTTTAAGAAATCTCACATTCTGCCTAACAGACAGTTAAAAGAAACATAAAGTTTCATGCCATATTGGCTAACCTATTTCAACAGATTTTTATGGTTTGAGAACATTGCGTGTTGTAAAAGAGAGTTCATACCATATTTAGTTCAAGGATAGCAAAAGTGAAACTGGTCATATTTCGTATTGCAGCCCCAATATTTTCTACTAGTACAAGGGTTGACAGAATCAAAATTAGTTCATGAGGCTTGAGGGCCATATTTCTTATTGCAACCCCATTCTTCTTGCAGGCTTTGCTTTCTCAAGATAGCATAAAATACAAAATGCCCAAACTCAGGAAGCTACAACCCAGGGTTTCTTGATTCCAGGCTCACAACATTACGCCAAGCAACCCATTAATACATGAACTTTTTAATAAAAACAGTGTTTTGGAAGCAAACCAACAACAACAAATTCAGACAGTCCTTTCTGAGCTTAGAGTTAGAAAGCAGAAAGCATTGCAGCTCATAATTTGTATAGGGAAATCTTGAGTTGGTTAAAAATCATGCCAATAGGAAATATGAGTATTAGAATACATCATGATTACAGAAAATGAACATATCACAAAACATCCAAGTCAAGAAAGCAAAATGTATAACTCAACCTTAAAGTACAATGCCAAATGGCTAGCTGATACAGGAGGATCTTACTTAAAATAGCAAATGGTCTCCAAAATTCCTAGCCAAACACCAGGAGATGAACCCATAGAGGTTACTGGATAGTTTCTTTTTACCTTTTGAAAATCCTTTCTGAGAAGCCAATATTGCACCTCAAAATGCACACTACAAAAACAGATACTCATACATAAAAGTTTTCATAGGGAGAAGGCCAAGGGGGGCACTCACTCTATGCATAGAAAGCAAAGCCAAGCCTGCAAATTTATCCTTTAGATCCAATCTTTCTGCTGAAGCTTCAACGGCAAATACACTTCAGTGAGGTACTGAAACCCGAACGAGCTCAGCGCCTGAATCTCAGCCTTGTGTTTGGATTTAACCATCAAATTCAACTCCTCGACCCACCCGGGGTTCTTCTTCACAAAGTCTTCTTCCAACAAATCCTTCCCGGTCTTAATATCCTGCTCGGTCATATCCAACCTGCAGAGTTCAGGTATGTTGTACTTGTCCAGATCACTCGGTCGGACACCCAACCATTTTATATCCGGAGTTGTCAGATTCGCGCTGTCATAAGACATGTTCTTAGACCCACACCCATACACAGATAGAATCTTGAGCCCATATGGATCACTGTCCACAAGAGCTAGCACCGGCAAGTTCAACTCCATCTTCATTTTTCTCAAGAACAACCTTGTAGCCACATCCGGCTGTCCCTTGGCCGTGACAATGATACATGGAAACCGGTTGTAAAACCTGTCCTCAGCCAGTCTCATATAAGCAGCATCCTTCTCAACCAAGAGTATGAATAGTGCATCACTCTGCATATCCCCAACCCTGTCAATGTTTGGGGGGATGGCCTTTCCTCCCATCCCCATCTTCGTGCAATCAATCACATCGCCATGGTCACTGAAAATAAGCCTACCCACAACAACTCCTTTCTCAGAGGCAACCACATTCAGGCTGGACCTGGTACACCCCAGGATGCAGGAGACGTCGTCTAAAACGGCGTCGGATTGAGTCTGGTCCACAAATAGCTTCACGTCGGAATAGAAGAGGTCCCGCTTCGTGACGTGGATTTGCTTGGAGCAGAGCTCGTGGATGAGGCGGAGGATGCGGGTGGTGATGGTGGTTTTCCGGACGGTGGAGACATTGGCGAAGGGGCGGACGGATGCCTTGTCTTTGAGGACGATGCGATCGAGTTCGGGGATATAGAGCTGGTTGGCGGAGGAGCGGGAGGGGACGGTGTAGGAGAACCCTTGGCCGGAGAGGATGGAGCGGGCGAGGCTGAGAATGAGATCCTCTATGGAGGTTTGCACGGCGGAGAGGGGGAGATCTTTGACTTCGCGGAAGTTATCGGCGAGATCCAGGTCGGAGAGGGTTAGGGTTTTTGAGGTGGAGGAGGAAGCCACTGCTGCGTCCTTTAGGTTCTTGAGGATTTGGAGGATGTCGGAGTCCGGTATGACCTTGGATTTGAACGGAATCCGTTCGGCGCCGGCGTCGTGGGTTGCTCGCCGGCGCTTCTTGTTGTCCGCCATAGGGAAGGTTGCTCGGAGAGAGAGGCCGGAAACTTTTTGGGATATTGGGTTAGATAATACTCCGTAGGGGTGGGCAATCGGGTACGGGAACCGCGAGTCAGAATCGGACCAGCTAGGTTCGGTCCGGGGTTAGGGTTGGGTCTTCTTTTCAAAAATTTCAAACGGTTTGAGTCGGTCTGATCCTTATAGATTTTAGGGTCGGTCCGGTTCCCTATTTTGAAATAGTTTTGGACCCGGACCGGACCGTTTTTTTTAAATCTCAATATTATTTTTAGTAAATACACGGATATACGGAAATATACTCGCCTAAACTCTTCAATCTTTCGGTCCTTCCAATCGCAGGCAGAAAAGTGAGAAAACTGTTCGTAGTCAGAGAGTCGAAACCCATGAAGATTGTGAATTTTGTTTTTTTTGGAACCCATTGACATTATAATGCCAAAATGTGATTGTCTTTTTTTCTTTGTTGTTGTTGGATAATTATGGAGTGTACATTTTATTCTCATGCCCCTCTTTGTCATTATTTTATTTTCATTTACGCTTCTTTTTTTGTGTTGGATGACTTAAATTAATTTAGTATCCTTTTATTTTTTAAATATTAGTATCATGATAGGTTCGGACCCGTTGACCCGTGAAATCGGCCCGTTTCCAACAAGTCGGGTTAGGTCCGGTTTCAATTTTAAAATTTTGAAAACTCGTTCTAGCCCGGACCGTTTTAATAAAAACAAGTCGAGTCCGGTTTATAAAAATCTTGGCTCGGACCGGCCCGTGCTCACTCCTAATACTCCGTAATTCAGAGAAGGCCCTTCTTCAAAAAAAAAGGAAAAGAAAAAAGAAGGCCCAGTAGCACAATTTTTATTAAGAAATGGCCATAAGCCCAATTGAGAATAAACATGCTTGGCGCCTAAAATTAGTAATAGGCGGATTGTAAGAACTCACTAATTACATTGGATGTGATTTCATCTTATTAGGATGATTTGAATTGATCACAACAAGTAAACTGTCAACTGCTGATTGTGATTTGCTCATTGAAAAGTTAACGACAAGGATCACAAGCTGGGCAACCAAACATCTATCGTATGCAGGAAGAGCCAGGTTGATTAACTCAGTTCTGTTTGGAATTATTAACTTCTGGTGTAGAATATTCATCATTCCTGGTAGGGTAATGAAGAATGTGCAAGCATTATGTAGAAACTACCTCTGGGGAGCTGCTGAACACTATAGAAGAGTCCCACTGGTCAACTGGGAGGATACTTGTAAACCGAAGGGCAGTGGAGGGTTGGGGTTCAGGAACCTTAATGCCTGGAACAAAGCATTGGTGATGAAGCTCAATTGGGATATTGCTAATAAGAAAGATAACCTATGGGTTAGGTGGATTCATAGCAGATATATTAAGGGAGTGAACTTCTGGGAATACACACCAAAACAGGATACTTGCTATTATTGGAGGAGGATGATAAAAGTGAGGTCAGAATTTGAGGGGATGCTCGTTAATGGTGATTATACACCCGATGAAGGGTATCTCTGGCTCATGGGCCAAACCCCTAAAATAGAATGGGCTAACTTGGTGTGGAATAGACTAACAATCCCCAAACATCAATTCAACATGTGGCTGATTATGAAGAAGAGACTACAGACAAGACAGAGGTTGAGCAAGTTCCTCACTATTGATACCAAGTGCCTACTATGTAACAATGAGGAAGAGGATAACAACCACTTATTTTGGGGATGCCTATTCTCCAAGCAGCTGTACAGGAAAGTTATGGAGCCATTGGGATGTATACTCCAAGCCTCTAGCTTCCAAGACNAGTTTAATATACAATGTTTCATTAATAGTAAAATGAGAAAGAGTAGTGTGGTATCCTGTATAAGTAGGTTTGAGATGGGATGATTACTGAGGTTTGTATAACCTACTAATTGAGATGAGTTAATAAGATGTGATGTGGTTAAAAAAAAAATAGAGAAATACTATATATAATTTAGAAGTTCGAATATATTGACGTGTTGTTATTTTAAATGTAAGTATACTTTCGAAGGATGATTTGAATTGATCTTATTGTAGTTACTAGTTATATATAAAGTTGTATTTGCTCTAATCTACTCTGATTTAAACTAATTTTAATGAAAATAAGTTGAAAAGAACAAGTTATAAGTTAAAAGTAATGAGAGTGACATTTTTGAGAGATAGCAAAAAATTCAGTGACAATTTTGAAACAAAATCAAAGGAAGCCACATTTGCGGGTTCCTTATTTAGTTGATTGACTCATGTTCCATTAGCGACAAAAATTCGGTCCTTCATGTCCTTTCACAATTCGGCCGCCTCCTACACCTGAGTGATGGAATTTCGCAGAGAAGCGTCAATCATGTTGAACATCAATGACACAAGTATGGCATTCATCATCCACCATTCTTTGTATTCATTTTTATCTGCTTCGGGGTGAGGTATGGATCCGTCGATGAATCCAAAATTTCTTTTAGCACGAAGGGCAATTCACACAGCCCATGCCCATTCTTCATAATTACCCTCGTTCAATTTGATCTAGGTGATAACCAGTGCAGTATGCCTGTAGATTTCAATTTATAAGGACTGACCATGGCGAATTGTTTGTTGTTGTTCTCCGTTTTGGAGAACACATTCTCCTCCCTCTCCCCGGTCATATTTCGAGCAGCAACAGTCAAGGGTTTCGGTCAGTCGGGTCAAGGATGTCTCAAGATCTTACGCTCCAATATTATGTTAGAATCAATATTGGGAAAAGATCAGAATTTTGTATATTCCAAAGGTATCATCTAATACAAAGATGAGACCCTCTTTATATAAGAAGAGGTAAAACCATAAAAGTAAACTTTTATTCCTACCAAACAAACTCAAAACACATCCATAACAAGAAACAACACAATCAAACCCAATCCTTAGAGAATTTGATTTTCCCTCTTTCTCTTAAAATTCCGTAACACTCCCCCTCAAGTGGACAACCGGTTCATTTTAAATCTAACCGGTTGACCACTTGCAAATATACTCCCATCCCCATGATTTTTTTGAGTAAAAACACCTAAAGGAACACGAGCCGCTGAGTATGGACTTCCAGACGAGCAATCGTGTTAAACGGGCCACAGGCCGTTGGGTACATACTTCATATGGGTAACTGGACTAAAGACTAACGGGCCGCTAGGAATATAATGAACCTCTAGATGAACCCCTTGACAAACATTGTGGGCCAAAACTAGCTCCGATACCATGATAAAATTTCGGTGGATTGAGAATAACGGGTAGAGTGTCGGGTAAAACTAGCCACTTGTATATAAAATCGGGATCCACTATTTTAACCAAAAAGCTTAAGTTGATAGGTAGGGCTTCACCCTTCTATATATGCTAGTAGTATTCATCTTTATTTTTTCGATGTGGCAACTCTAACACTCCCCCTCAAGTAGTAACTGGCTTGACCTAGTTTGCATTTGGACAAACTGGTCTAGCATCTCAATCTCTTTTTAGCCAATTCAACCCAAATCACAGGCAGGTAGTTTTTTTGTTAGGCCTCGTCCAACAATAAAAAAGAATCGAACTCGGACCGGACCTACTCCAATACCATGTTAAAATTCCAGGGTGTGACGCACTCTAACACTTTCCTTGTCTATACGTGTGTCACCCAATAGATTCCCCCCCTCCTGAGAAAACGAATGATCCGGAAGTGCCAACACTTAAAGAACTACGAATTGTTGAACATGAATTTCCAAAGGAACAATCGGCTTATATGGGTCACAAGTCAGTTTTCATATGGACAACTGAACTATAGACCAGAATCGTTAGGAATGAATGTCTAGACAACACACACTTAAATTAAACAGCTTTGAGTGCAATTTAAAAGAAAAAATTTAAGAAATTAAATCTAAATCCGAGTACTTGTGTAGAAAGTGGAAACTTATTTCAGTGTTAGTTTTTTTTCATGTTTATTCGTTTATGCGTTAAAAATTAACTGTTTTTTTTTTTTGCATTATTTCGGTTTTTACCTTGCACACATTACACATTTGTAAATTGTTTAGTATAGGGATTAGGGATTAGGGATTAATGATTTCTTTTTTTTTTTTTGCATTATGAAGATGGCCGCCACAACCTTCAATCGCACATATACGGATCTGCGTCGGTCTCCCCTTCAATCGGTGCACGGCATCTTCTTTGATCCAGTTGCCGGTCTCCCCTTCACAGCTTCGATTTAATTGTCGACTGTACTGGAAAAACGGTACCATATAATTTGGGGCTTTTGTCTTTTGCGACAAAGGGTGTTCTTATGCCATTTGTCGAAGACGCATATGAAATAGGAGAGCAGATTGGCAAAAATATATTGGCAGGTTTTAGTCCTTGTCTTAGAGTAGTCCATTATTGAAGAAGCTAGTTTTGGTTGCTTCTTGCTGTCTACACTCTTGCATGTAATGGCTGTTTTGCTTTTTGGAGCTAAATATTTGGGATCTTGTATTCGGGTGGTTCTTAGATGGTTGCCATGTCTACATCCAGTTCTCTCTTCCCCCACCACACCGCATGGGGCAATTGAAAGGGTTTGGGGTGGGTGTGCGTCATGGCACCGCGCGGGTTGAAGGTTTTTACTTTGTGGAGGTAGTAACGCAAATTATATCGTACAACCGGCTATTCTAATCATGTTGATAATTGACCTAATTGGCACATCTCTATTTATAGAGTACTCCGTATAAAGGAACCACTATTCTAATTAGGGCATGGCACGAGTTTGTATATATAAACCGGATTTGACTTGTTTTTATTAAAACGGTTCAGGCCAGAACGGGGTTTCAAAATTTTAAAATTGAAACCAGACATAACCCGGCTTGTTTGAAACGGGCCAATTCCATGGGTCAACGGGTACGAACCTATCATGATACTAACATTCTCCAAAATAAATACTACCTCCGTCCCGCTATATTCGTCCACTTTTGACTTTTGGAACTGTTCATCTAAGCACTTTGACTCATCAAATTCTCTCAATGTATAAGCCTAAATATAGTCATGTGTGATCTTGTTTGATTTGTCTTAACATATAGATTATTAATATATAATTTTTATAATATAATTTTTTAATATACAAATTACAAGATAAAATGGATTAAAAAGTGTATTGGATGGTGTGCAAAAATGAAAGTGGACAAATACTCTGGGACGGAGGGAGTAGAAATTATAGAATAATGTCTTCAAAGGGTAATTAATTGGATACTGGATTATGAGGAATTGAGGTGTGAATAATTGCAGGCCACACATCCACATACAAAAGTAACAAAATTGCCCTCGGCTAACTCCTTCGTAACTGGTAAGGCTAAGGCGGCCAGTAACCTAGGGTATTTAGTATTTACTAAAAAGTAAAAATAATATTGGGTTTAAATTAAACGGGCCGGTCCGGGTCCAAAACATTTTTTAAAATTAGGAATCGGACCGACCCTAAATTCTATACGGCCCGAACCGACCCAGACCGTTTTAAATTTTTGAAAAGAGGACCCGCACCTAACCCGGCTCGAACCTGGCGGTCCGGTTCCGACTCGCGGTTCCTTGACCCGTTTGCCCACCCCTAATTCTAATCCTAACCCGAACTCTATTGGTTCAAGAAATGCATCGAAGTAAAGAAGTAAAAAAAATTCTCAAATAAAAGTATACAAAATAATTTTGCTCACCTAGTTTTTTACTCCATCCGTCCTTAAATAGATTGCAAATTGCAGGTTACGAAATGAAATTTCATACTTTTTGAAATCATTTATTTACAATTTAGTATATCAGTAAGATATAAAAATTACATATTAAAAAACTACGTCAAAAGTTCTACAAAACAATAGGTGACAGGAGTATTTTATTTTATCAAATACTTAATGAAATCACATTAACAAACAAAAATTATCGAGAGGAGAGAAAAAAATTGTAATCTATTTAGGGAATTATATTACAATAAATAACCAATAAGAAATATTTGCACTAAATAGCACTAAAACTTAAGTCATTTCCCTAAATAGCACTTAAATTGTTTCATTCCCTAAATAGCACTTAATAATGTCCATAATGTCCAGTGATGACGAATATTTACTTGAATAATGACTAATGCATAATGACTAAAAATGCTACATTGAGAAAAATACATATGGTGCTATTTAGAAAAAGTCATTAGATTTTAGTGCTATTTAAATAACTAATAAATAATTAATTAAATAATCTAACTATCATCCATACCAAATACGGAGTACTAGTTTAAAAAAAGAGTAGTTTTATACAATATCATATTATAAAATTTTAATACCAGTACAATATAACGGAGATATTAATAATTATAGTATAGCATTCCTAAAAATTAAAATCAAATGACAAAAAACTACTCCCTCCGTCCCATAAAACATTTCCTGTTTCAAAAAAGGCGCACTCTTACCGTGAGTAATTTTGGTGTTATTTTCTAATTTTACCCTTACTTATTAAAAGAGTAGGATGAGATGTGTAGAATATATTAATCATAATTAAAAAATAACACTAAAATTACTCATTTTAAAAGCATGTCATTTTTGAAACAGGAAATGTTTTATAGGAAGGAGAGACTAAATAAGAACGTATATACTTTTGAGACGTGGGTAACAATAATGAACATACACATGTTCTAAAAAAAGCCATCCACTACTGCATCCTCTCATACTTTCTTGTTTCTTAAGATATCAAATTAGTTAATTTTATAATAATGCCCAAGGTACGTAGACTTCACGGATTAATTAATTAAATTAGCTCTTAATAAATTATTAATGCTCGCCTTGAGAACTCATCTTAGTGAAAATGTGCCACAGCCGCTTGATCTCGCCGGAGACGTCGTCGGTCGGAAGCTCAAACCGGCAGCACGGACACGTGTTCCGCTTGTGAAGCCACGGCAATATACACATCCAGTGAAACAAATGCTGACATGGCAGCTCGCACACATCCCTCCCTCCCCTCATCTCCTCCTTACATATCACGCACTCCCGCCCCCCCGCCTCCCCTCCTCCACCCACTTCCACCGACCTCAGCGCCACCACCGCCGCCACCGAAGCCGCCGCCTCCCTCCCGTCCTTCCCGTCCCGGCCGCCGCCCGTCGCGTCGACAAAGTTCTTGCACCTCGCCACGAGGTCCACGAACTCCGACAGAGCCCCGGCGGGGAGCGTCAGAGCGCTCTCCGCCGCGCGGCGGCAGAGCGCGTCGCGCCACCGCGACGGCGGGGCGTCGAGGGCTCCGGCGTCTGTGCGGTGGAGGTCGCAGAGGAGGAGGAGGAGGAGGGCAGCGTCGAGGTCGCGGAGGGTTGTCACGGGGGAGGAGGCAGGGAGGAGGGCGTGGGTGGCCAAGAGGGAGAGGTGGGAGAGGAGGTGGCGGGAGATGAGGAGGGATTTCTGGGGGAGGGAGAGGGTGTGGAGGCGGTGGAGGGTGAGGGAGAAGAGGGTGGGGGAGGAGAGGAGGGCGGAGAGGCGGCGGCTGCGGTGGTGGAACGTGGCGGTGAGGTGGCGGGTGAGGTGAGAGAGGACGGAGGGGGAGAGAGTGGAGAGGGCAGCCATGATAGTGGTCTCCGGTGGTGAAGAAGAAGAAGAAGACCAGGTTTCCATCTTAATTATTTTTAATTAATTACGAGTAATTAATTATTAATGATGGGTTGCATATAAAACTACTCCGTAGTATATGGAATTATTAAGTAGAATGGAATTCTCTTCTATGAGTGGTGGGAAAGCAGTGAGTTTGGCCGGGAAATGGGAAGGTGTGGGTTTTATAGGAGAGAATTTGGGGGAAAACGAGTGCCGCAAGACTAAAAAAACCCTTCATTCCTCACCCTTTGTTGAGGGTGGTTGTATGATGTATCTTGGTGCATGTCATTTTTGTGTATTTTTTCAAATAAAAAATCTTTTTTATTAATTTTTTTATTTAAATAGTAACAAAATGTTTATTTTATTCATGTCGGTCTATCATAAACCTTAGTTCCATAATATAATTTGTCTTTTTTCATATACTCCGTTCTGTATCATATAATCCCTCTGTCCACCATAGATCTTCCCAGACACTATTCACAGGGTCAAACTTTACTCACTTTGTTTGTTCATTTTTACTAGTCATTTCATAAAATAATATAGTCTTGTCACCTCTAGTTTTGTAAAATTTTTCATGTAGTTTATTACTATATAAATTTTATTTTAAAATTTTACTCCTATAATCAATTAAATTGAATTGAAAATAAAGTCGGTCAAGCCTCGTAACGCGTAAGAGCATCTCCAATGGAGAGAGTAAAAAGTGTATATTGTTAAATATACACTTTATAGACTACAATATTACATTTTAACCCCTCCAATGGATAGTGTAAATAATGCACTATAGTCCAAAATACAATTCTCAACTTCTATATATACACTCTACCATTCACATCTTGTAAAAAATTTATTACTAAAATAATGCATGATTAATTTTGTTAATTCTTCTTATCCAATATAATTTATTTAAAATATCTAACTATTAGTAAATTATTATTACTCTTTCCATTACTTTTATAAATAATTTTTTTACTAAACTGTTGTAGTACGTTTTTTTTTTACTTTTTTTACTAATTTTTTTATTTCTTGTTTCTTAATAGATTAAATTCCATAATTGATCCTTTATAACACGGGAGTTTCCATATTTAGTCCTCTATTATCAAATATTACCCCCGTAATCCTTTTTTAAGGGTACCTTTCCACAAATGGTCCTTTTTTTGATCTTCTGCCGTGTTGGTGTTAATTTAAAGGCTAAAAATATAATTTGACACCAACATTATGTGTAGTGACGTGTTCTGATATCGGTTAAGCTGATAACACAAAAATAATGAATATGATTGTGGGCTAGGATTCTGACGAAAGACTACATTTGTAGACTATGGTTGTAGTAGAAAGCGACTGTAATTCACAAACGGCGTAAATAGAACAGCCTTTGAAATTGTGTATGACAAAAAAGATATATTATCATTGTGAAATTACACTTTTAGCCTTCAAATTAACACCAACATGATAGAAGATCAAAAAAGGACTATTTGTGGAAAGATAGACATAAAAGAAGGACCACTGGGATAATATTTGATAATAGAGGACTAAATAGGGAAACCCCCATGTTATAAAGGACCAATTATAGAATTTACTCTTCTTAATATTCTATAACCATAGTTTAAAATACACGTGTCATCAGAATTTTTAAAACTATACATATTATTACAATTAAATAACTTAAAATATTAAAATAAAATAAAAGTGTATTATATAGAAATTATTGTTGGAGTGGATATAAAAAAGTGGATGTGCAAAACACTATTGATAGTGTAAAATTAAATATAACCTACTTTTTTTACACTTTCCATTGTAGATGCTCTAATGGGAAGATCTTACATGGACGGAGAGAGTATTTTTTTGGGATAAAAAAATTGGATTAAACAAAAAAAATCAACAATGACGGTTTAAGGACTGCCCTCCCACATGGACTGATGGACTGTGTCGATGCACTTTTTTTGTTAAATTATCTGAAATTAAATTTTTTATTTACTATTCACATGGTTAAAATTTATTTATTTTTTTTTGCTTATTTACATTAGTTATTTGATAAAATATGTCATGTCAGTACTAGTTTTGTAGATTTTTTTATGTAGTTTTAGAATATGTAATTTTTATTTTTTAATTCTACACCAATTTTCATATAAAATGTTTTGAAAATAATTTAAGTCAAACATCGTAAACCGAAACATGTGATTTAAATTGAGATAGAGGAGTAATTTAAATCGGTCTATTTTGATTTATGATGTTTGACTGATGTTTTTTGATAAATCATTTGAAAATTTGGGTAGATCAGAATTCAAAAATAAAATTTACATACGGTATTTAAAAACAACTACCTCTGTCCGAGAGTATTTGTCCACTTTCATTTTTACACACCATCCAATACACTTCTTTAATTCATTTTATCTTGTAATTTGTATATTAAAAAATTATAGAAATTATATATTAATAATCTATATATTAAGACAAATCAAACAAGATCACACATGACTATATTTAGGTTTACACATTGAGAGAATTTGATTAGTCAAAGTGCTTAGATGAACAGTTCCAAAAGTCAAAACTGGACGAATACTCCGGGATGGAGGGAATACATCAAATATTCTACAAAACAAAATGTGACATTATTATACTCCATATTATTTTATCAAATGATTAAAGAAAATAAAGTGAATAAAATTTAGTCACAGAAGTTGTAAACAAGTAACTTAATTTGGAAAAAAAGAGTAGAAAATTCGAAGACCACGAACAAAATAGACAAAAAATACTCATGTGCTGGTGCTTATTAGTTTATTGTTGATAAATAATTTTTAACTTATAAGATGCTTATAAGCTAAATATTTTTTCGTAAAAGTAAAATGAATTAAATGATAGATAAGTCATTTGGAAATATTCATAAATGACGAAGGATAATTTTGTAAATATTGTTGTCAAAATGAAAAAAATGGATTAAAATAAGTAATATCTACTTATTTTTTTCTAATTTATAAGCAGCTTATAAATTTGCTTATAAACACAGAGAAACATGCTAACAGTAGACTTATAAATTAAAAATTGTATATAAACAGTTTTGACCTGCTTATAAGCACATAGAAACGCCTACAAAGTTAACAACATAAAATATTCTTCAATCACGTTTGAGTACGAAAAATAAGCCAATTGAATAGTCGTGACTGCCTGAAGAAATTCTTAGCACAAATCACGTTTCATAGCGTGACGACGAAAAAATTATGTGCATCAAAATAAATTGTTCTTCATCAATGAACGCCGTGACAACGACACAACATTTAGCGCCGTAACAAGTGAAGGCAACGACATCAAGAAATAAGAACCCAAAACTTATATTTTGTATCTTTCTAATTGTCTAAGCGTTGTTACGTCATTGTGCCCGTGATAACCATGTGACAAAAACGAAAATGTTTCCGTATACTCCGTATAATATAGGCATATAGTGAATCTGGGGCGGCTCAAGCTAAGGCAGGGGCATGGTGGCTACCCGACCTGTATGGAAGGAGACTTCAAATGGATGAGTGTCATCTGCTCACACTAGATCACATTATTATCATTATCATTACTATTACTATTATTATTGTTGTTGTTGTTATTATAATTAGAATTAGAATTATAATTATTATTAGGTGCTTAAATACATGATAAAAGTAACAATGGACACATTACTACAATTATATATGGATGTGTAACGTGGTGCGAAGCGTTGGGGTGGTGTGAGGTGATGGAGTTGAAATGGAAGGGAGTGAATTGGGTATGTCTGGCTTTTGTCCAAATGCATGTGTCCAGTTCAGCCAATTAAGCAACTTCCAGCCCACTTACTTTTCTTTATCAATACATCTGAAAAACAACAAACATATGAGCAAAAAAAATAAAAAATCATTCCGTCCATATCCATTGACTATGCATGTCTCTGTACGTATTTTGCAATATTAGTGGATCATTCTCAGTTGCAGACTTTGATTCTCTGCCACAGTTAGTTGTACTGGGCCGCGTTGTTAAGACCAGAGTGAGGTCGTTGCGTCGTGTCTGAGGAAATTTATATGAAGTCGTAAGGTATATCCCGGGAAAGTTTGTCGTCTACGTAAATTTCTTTATGGCTTACGTCGGTCTCTGAGAAATTGGTTGTGGCTTTGGTTAATTCCAAACCGGTATATATACACGAATAGACAACGACCCATTAAAAACACGGCCCAGTAACTAACAAGTTGAGATCCAGTATCAACCCAAAAGCTTAAGCTCATGGATAGGAGTGTAGGACTTCCCTTTCTATATATGCTACTGGTATTTCATTATTTTTTCAACAAGTATTAACCCCGTGTGAAGCACGGGCTCGTAAGCATTCTAAAATTTTAACATTCTAGTTTTTATTTTCATTACTCATTTGATAAAATAATATAGTCATGTCATATATATTTTTTTAAACTTTTGATGCAGTTTTAAATATAAAAGTTTTATTTTTAAATTTTACACTTAATCAAACAAATTGAATTTAAAATAACTTCGGTCAAATCTCGTAAATTGAGAAGCCAGTTTTAGAACAAAGAGTGTATAATAAAATAAATCTAAAGTTTTAAAATATATATCATATAGTTAATAAAGATGCTTATGTAATAGAGTCAATAACACTCAAAAAAGATGCATATGTGATAAATTAATGAAATTGCTTTTTAGAAGTGATAGAAATATAGATTATGGATTATAAAAAATAACTTATTTAACATTTTTAAATTAATGAAATTAGTTTTCGAACTTTAAAATATATTACAATGATGAAAATATAATACAAAAATTATTATTAAAGTTAGAAAGTGAAAGTTTATAAACTGAAGGGATTTATAAAGTATAATAAAAATAGTAATTATTTAATATAAAAATTAATACGCACGCATGTCATGCCACGTGGCATGTGATACACATGTGGCATGACACGTGTTACACATGTACACGTGTGGCGTGACACATGTGGTTACTACATTTAAGCTGCTCAACTTTATAGATATACTAGTATTTTAACCCGTGCCATGCACGGGTGGAACGAAATTGTTTTTTACTGTACAATATCAAATATTTAAACAACTTGATTTTTTTATGTTACATACCATTTAAATTTCATATATATATATATATATATATATATATATATATATATATATAGACACACACACACACACAAAATATATAATTCTTCCCACCCCTTAATTCAAAAAATATACGACAAAAACATTGGTGATATATATATTCATTGAAAGTATTAGTATAAATGAAATGAAAAAAATAAAAATTTAAAACAATATTCTAATGAAAAATAAATATCTCTCTTTCTTAATTAAATGTACTCAATGATAACAAAATCATAAATAATGTTAGTGTAATATAATAAGTCCCAACAATATATTTTATTTTAATCATTTGTATTTTATAATATAATAAAAATAGGTTTAAATATGTTTTTATACCCTATAAAATAAGAAATTTTTGTTTTTAGTTTCTGTAAATTATTTTGTAGGGATGACTTTATCAAAAAATATTTTTTTGATAAAGTCATCCCTACAAAATATTTTAATTTGAAAATAGTCCTTAACGTAATTAATTAATGAAGTAGCAGTTAGTCAAACACTACAACTTTCGATGTTGAGCCGGAGGTCTCTTTGGAAACAGCCTCTCTACTTTCGAGTAGGGGCAAGGTCTGCGTACACACACCGTCCCCAGACCCTACTCTTGTGAGATTTAACTGGGTTGTTGTTGTTGTTGTAATTAGATGAGATAGTACATTCATTTCATACTCAACATATTATTCATGTATTTCTAATTACATCCGATGCAATTTCTAAAATCTAAATTGTGTACTTATTCATATTACATATATCCGGCTCTCAAATTTCTTACAAATATAATATAATCAAAATTTGAGAATTGGAAATGCAATTTGATAAAAGACACAAGTATTGGCATCAAAATTGTGTCTGAAGTAATTGCAAATCTAAAACTATATGTTATCTCAACAACTTAAAAGTCTTTATTACGTATAAAGATCATTATCAAATTAAATTTTTTTGTAAGGATGACTTAAACAAAAATTATATTTCAAGGACCAAAAAAACTCACCTATTTGTAAGGGACTAAAACTATATTTAACCCTTAAAAATACCATAATAAATAATAATAAAATAAAATATCTGTAAACTAAATCATTTAAGAACTATTAGCCATAATTTTTTAGTAATTATATCAAACCATGAAATTAATATAATCAAATTACCAAATAATATCTAATATATTTTACCTGCTTTAACAATTTATTTTCTAATCTTCTTATATTTTATAAAGTTTCATTGGAATTTTAAAATACGTTTTTTGTTTATTAACTTACATGAATATTTTAATAAATATAATCAAACTGACTGCTTTGATTTAAATATATCACAAAAATATGAAATTTATTTAGAAGTGAAGATATATCTTATTAATTACTTAGGGCCGATTTGGTGAATTTTGGAGATATTATTAGATGTGGGTTATGAAAACTCAGAGAAATGATATGGACTTGTAATCTGAAATGATTTTATTTGGAGAGATTTAAATTCAAGATTTAATTAGTGATAAGCAAGGGTGACTGACAACGGGAGTGGTTGGCAGTGACAATGGTAGCGAGTGGCGAAGAATGATCAAGAGTTGAGAGAGATATCAAACCCCCATATTGATATCTCCGAAATTTGGGAGATATTGAGACCATCCATTTTAAAGATATATGATTTTTGGAGATATTAAATTTGATAACTCTTTTGGCTTCACCAAACACCAGAAAAGGATTACGATATCTAGAGATATCAAAACTCGTATTTTTTTGCTCACCAAACACACCTTTAGAAGTTTTGTAATAATTGAATAGAAAAATATGCGTAAATAGGAAATAATTTATTATAAAAACGAATATCTATATTCTCTTCCATAATTAATTGTACCGAATGACTTCATATCATAGTATTAACTTCTTACTTTCAATAATATATTTTACGTGTCAGAAATGTCTCATAAACAACATCATATTTCAGCTTCTTAGAGATTAAAATATCAATTTTATAAATAAAGGATCAATTATAAACATATTTGATCCTTTCCTATAAGAATACTTTTAAACGAAAATATATCATTATCAAAATTTTGTTTTTTGTGTATGCACTTAGTTAAAAATTTGATTCATAAAAAATACTAGTCTAGAAATGGTAAGTGATAATACCAATTTTATATTTTCACTAATTTTTTGCTACATCATAGTAAGCTTTATCATAAAATTATATTTTATATAATTGTTTTCCTTTAATAATTTTATTTCGGACAATACTATATTTATCTTTCACAAATTTGATTTTATAACATAATTAATTTTATCAAAAAATAACAAATAAATAAATGAATTGCTTTTTAAAAATAAAAAATATAAATACTCAACTAATGTCACAAAGTAATGAATTCTTTATTTGTCCTAAATCTTTTTACGTAAAATTTTTCCAAAATTTGAAATCATTATTAAATTTCTATTTTAAAATAAAAAAGGTCAAATCATCATTAATAAAATTTGCCACATAAGCAACCAATAAAGGCTTGTCATCTCACCTTAATATAGCCCACATAAGCTTGACACTTGGCGACTTTCTAGCAAACGGAGTCTCAAATATTATATTAAAGGATTATATTTTTAAAACTAATTTTTTTTATACAATCCTTTTTTAATTATGAAATATTATAAAAGATTAAGTGAAATTGTAACAAAAAGCACCCTAGCTTGGATGGTTATGAACTCAACTAAATGATTAAGAGATCTTGGTTTCAAACTCTCATGGCGGTATGTTTTTGGAAAGAAATTGCAAAAAAAAAACTGGTCCGACCGGTTCGACTGGCCGGTTTGTCTATAAAAGGGTGACACATCAGATCTGCTACATGTCGCGCTCTAGCTCTGGATTCAAACTATGGAATTAGAATTGGAGACAAGAATTTTAATTCTGATGTTTGGTAGCACAAAAAATGAGTGGATTTCGAATTGGTAGGGCCAAAAATGAATTGAAATTGGAGAATTAGTTCCATCCAAATCAATTCCATAGAATTTCAACTCTCTATTCAATTTCAATTCCGTGTACCAAACGAATCCTAATTGTTTCCTTTGACATACCGTTTTACTCAGGTAGTTTTTTTTAATAAAAAAACCCAAATGTTGTTTACTGTAACTAGACTTTCACATGTTAAGGCTACAACAGGCTGGCAGCGAGCAAGTTAGCTTACTGATTATAGGCATCAAGTTTGTGCTAAGAATGCTTCTCTGTACATTGGTAAAATGGGCATTTTACTACACAAAGGCCGGGTATAGTTCAACTTTCTTGCTCTAAGGAAAGGAAAATTCCAATAAGTTTATGAGATGATGATGCATACCTAGCAAAAAGTGAATGCACTTCTGCGTGACGTGGCTAAGAGGGATAAATCTGAATTCATCATCTACGTCGTCATCCCCTTCAAAGAGTCTTAGGAACCGCGCTTGTTCTTGCTGCCTCTTCCTCTTCTGCCACAACTTGTACGAAGTTACCATGCCAAGGACAAAAACCACTGAAACCGTAGCACCTATTACCACAATGAAAGCCCAATGCGTCATTGCCTTCTCGTTTGAGGGACCCGAGTGCTGTGGAGCTACATGAGATGGGAGGACAAAAGAAAAGTAACGTTAAATGCGTGTCATTTTGAAATCAGAAAATTACTCTAGCGTACCCTTGATTTTCTTATAATAACTCCCATGTCCCACATCATCTCAAATACACTCTGGGATACCCTCAATTACTCTTAAGAACTTTCAAATCTCACATTATCCATAATATACTCCAATCCGGGGGTCCTTAAAATTTGTGGTAATGTATTCCGAGGGTACATTCCGTCTACTTGGCCGTTAGGATTAAAATTAAAGGAATTTTCAATCGTAATGCCTAAATGGACGGAATGAACCATCAGAGTATAATATCACAAATTTTTAAGGAGCTCAGAGTATATTTCGGATAATGTTGAACCTAGGAGTTCTTATCAGAAAATGGAGGGGGCCCCGAAGTATATTTCGGATAATGTGGGACTTGTGAGTTATTACCAGAAAATTGGGGTACTCCGGAGTAATATTTTGTTTTAAATTGAATAAAATATGCATACATTCGGTTAGAGCAATAGAGAGAACGAGTGGAACAACGTACCACCAACAGGACGGGCACATTCAGGACAAGAATGTTGCGTTGAGCTCCTTGTCCTTGAAATGGATGTATTTTCCATCAATACTAAAAAAATCGGAAGCACAAAACTCCCACTCATCAAAAACATCGTGTGGCTTCAATGAGTCGTCTTCATAAAATCCACATCTCTTGCATTTCTTATTATGGAGTTCCACAAGAGGCTGAAGCATCATATAGTTGGTTATCAAACAAGCATACAATACATAGTTGACAATATCAGGAAGAGAAACATCCAACAACCCACAATCTTTTTGTAGTTCCCTCTTCTGGGCAAGATCTGAAGTGGATCTCTATTTTTACGGAGCCATCCTAAGATTTACAATCAAATTTAGGTTGTGTTGGTTCACGACTTCACCTGCTTTTCACCCTCTCTTTTTTTTAAAACTAGACACCATGTTAGGAAACATTTCATTTTTTTATTTATTCGCAACCTAGTTGATTCAAATCTCATATGAATCGGCACATAGGAAGATATGTAATGTCTATTCTGTACCACAGACTCACAATCCATTATATCTTCTTCAAAATTGGCAGATTTGCCCATCTTATTTTCTTCTTCTTTTCTTGTGTATAATTCACATATTTTGATGTAATTATTCTGAAATGCAGGATCATAGGATCCTTGTTACTCAATCGTATGAATGAACTATCCACCACCACCTCCCAATCCTAGGTAGGATCGTAATTTTTACAATACTTATACAGATAAAGAAAATCTGTGTGAGAAATCAAACATGTCACCTTTTCTTCTTAATTGAATAGGTGAGGTGATTTAGAAATCATCTACTTTCTACTGCCTGAAGCTTGAAATTGTCACATATATAGTGTAGGATGCAAGTATATTTAGCCTCAAATTGGTCAAAAGGACAGTATCATATCTTAAAGTAATAAAACTCTTGGAGTTGGCAAGACTGAAATAATCAAATAAGAAAATGTGATGAAACCTCGCAGCAACAAAAGCAGTGAATAACCACTAAATCAATGATTTTGCTTTCTGCTTCATGATGATGACATCAGTAGACAAAAACAATCGAGGTGATCCATAATTTTCAAGCTTTCCAGTATGGCCGTGTCCCAACGAGAAACACTCAAAGAACAAGTATAAGGAAATTTTCTTGAACATGGTCAATAAAAACCATGTCTTAACCTTCTATTTACGAAATTCTTCTGATCATTTCAAGAAATATCAGCCTTCAAACTAGATTTGTCAGCATTGTGATAGACAACCTATTTAGGAGATATGATACATTATACTTGTAAAGATTAATGATTAAAAGTCAACTACTTTATTTATTTTACGGAGTATTAAATAAGTTTATATTGCCTAATTCCCTAAGTCATATGCTAGTGGACGTTAAATTTATGGAGACATTGTTACTGTACCTAAAATATAGAGTCATTGTTAGGGGACCTAAAACTTAGGGAGATTGTTTTTGTCTAAAAATTATGAAAAGATTAATACAATATTTGATTTTATCATTGAATATTTCCTTAGGCTTTGTTAGTTATATGAGTTTAAGGCTGTGTTTGGTAAAGTATAGGTCGAGGTTAAATTAGGTAGCTAATGAGAGGTAGGTATAAATTGTAAAAGGGTTGTTTGGATATTTGTGATATTTATCCGATTGTCTCCTCCCTTCTTAGTTGTCCATAGCCACAATCCTTGTCTTCTCCAAAAACTTGCGCGCAAAGGTTGTCGCCTTCATATTCGTGTGTCGCCTCTACACATGGAGCCCCACTGGTTGGGATTTTGGTGAGAGGAGTTCGTCTCCAACACTGGTCAAAGGAAGAAGTAGACGAAAAAAGACAATTCAAAGAAATGAGCGTGACCGTCAATCCCATTTCTCACTTACAACGTTCACCAATATCGTGAACATCTCTATTACACTACCTTGAACGTAACCTAGAATTTTTCTCTCCTTTTTGATTTCTTCTCAAGCAAGGTAAACAACTTACACTGCCTTTCCCTACCTTCCCCTGCCTCCAAAAAACAAAGCATAAGGTTCTTACTCATGCATATTCTGTATAGATTTTCTTTCATCTTTTTAGGCCTACAGTTTGAGGGGAAGCACATGCTATGATTGTTATCATGTGGTCAAAATTTAAATATGCACCATCGTTGTTCTAGTTCATTTCCTCCTGTGGATGGTAATGTAGAAAAAAGAATAGTACCAGAAGCGTTCGAACTCAAAAACGAGGTAAAAGTAAATTTGGAGCCTTTGTACATGATATGTTTTATCATAGAGAACATAACTGACAACGAACAGCCTGATGCATTCTTTTCCTCACTTAAAAACTGATAAAAGCCAACAAATCCATAGTATTCATGGAAAAAAGCCAGAAAGGACATAGCCACATCTGCCATAACGAGTTCAACAATCCATAGTATTTGTGGGCTACCATAGCCCTAGGCAGAAGCTACTTTCCATCATGGTGGCCCCATTGCAGATACAGTTTGCTCAAAGTGAGGTCTAATATTGTTTTCTTGTCATCCCTAGTATACAAAAAAAAATTTTGCTTATATTTTGCCTCAAGGACAAGGCAAATTTACAAGGGTGAATGGTTGAGGAAAAGGCAATTTAACTATCACGTGGCGACATTTTTTCTTTTTTTTTCTTCGCTAACATTCTCTATGTCCTGCGCTATGTACCTAAAATTGAAGGAGGTATTGTTAGTGGACCTAATGTTCGAGTCATTGTTAGTGGACCTAAAATTTAGGGAGTCATTGTAACTTGTCTATAAATATTGAGTCTTATTACTACGTATAATACAATATTTGATTTTATCATTGGTGATTCTCCTTAGGCTTTATTAGTTATGGAGTATATGATTTTAAGACTCTTACTCAAATTTTGATAAAAAAATTCCTTCATCTTGATTATTTGATGGAGTTAGATCCTGATTTAACACTTTGATAGAGATTATCCTTCCGTGATTCTCCTTGCTTATCTTGAGTTCTATCACATCGCCTACAAATTCTTACCAGGTAACTAAACAAATGGTTTCATACTTTCATAACAATAGGACAGTTTGAAATATCATTTGAAATGTCACTTTCTTACCTAGTCCTCTGTCCCATTACTAAATTGAAATGACTATCACCCATTATGCAAAACAAGAGACTTCTCCCAGTAACCAATTATTACTAGGTCCACAAGAATAAGTCACAATGTAAGATGAAATAGAACTAGATGGGTCAAAGTTTAGATAAATCACGGTATACATGATTTTCGCCCCATAATCAAGTAGATGAAAGTCTAAAATTGTTCTTCTAACATACAAATAGTACTAAATTATAGGTTAATGGCTCTCTGAGCTTGCTTAAAAAACTGTGTACTCCACACATAAGGGCCAGAATCATTGACATTCTAAGTTGTGAAAAAATATGCTTTCAAATTATGACATAAAGCACCTTAAAGTATGTCAATAGAGATTAAGCATTTCTGTGTTGTTCTGTATACAACCCTCTTGAAAGAACTAGCCACATAAGTATCATCCTTTGTGATGTGTGTATTTATAATGAAAAATCTTTCTTCAACTATTGGACATTTCGCATTCAAGAATGCTCTATCTCCCCCGATCACGGGAAATGGTCTATGATACTATATGTTGCCCACAGGAACCGGCACACCATGTTACATCGGGAGACAATTCTAGTAAACTAGTACCCCTGTCTTAAAAATCTCTTCCCACTTTACTTATTGGGACGCCCTACAATTTTCTTCTACATTTCCTTTCAAGAAAAGATTATGTGGTTTGCAATTTGACATTCTTCCTGTCATTTAAAAATAGACCACGACCTTAAAAATTTAACGTGACGGGCTCACTCAACAAAGGGCAGAGTGAGTAAACGCATAACAAACGTTTGTTAAGCAATGAAGCAACGAAAAATAAAGGCACCTGCCACGACTCTTCTCCTTGAAAGCTATATAAAACACCCTTCTCCTTCACATCGGGCATGGTTGTCTGATTCTCCCCGTTACACTGAAAGTAAATTGTTGGATCCAATCCAAGGAACTAATGAGTATCATATATTTCGAGCGAGTCAAGTGTAACAATTGTAGCATTTATCAGTTCTACATGCCAAAACTCATACAGAAATAATATCCAACCAAACTAAAAAAAATAAAAAAAGCAAAACTCCAAAAACAAATCTTTTTAAAATAAACAAGTCTTTGATGGAATTTGCAAGTAAGCAGTTAACAAATTGATAAGTATTAAATTTGAGAGAAATAACATGATTAAGAGGAGAACGACAAAGAAAATGTCCAATCCAAACAAAAATTACCTCGGAGCCAGCAGAGAAGAATAAAGAATAAAACAGAAACCCTTGATCTTGAACGCCGAAAGATTCTCATGTAGGCCTATTCTTAATCTGTTCGACGCGTCTAGAACCGAGCCGAGTCTGCGATGCCGGAGACGATGGCGGAAAGAGGCGGGAACTCGGGAAGGATCGTCCTGATGGACGGAAATTTCTCCTCAAAGTTCTCGCCTTCTCCGTTTGACCGGAGTGTTGGGAGATTGAGCCGTTTGACCGTTGGAGAATTTTCTCAAAAAAGATTTCTAAACTCTCCAAAATAAATTACGGAGTAATTTTCTAAGTTGTTAGTAGCGGTGAACATGGTACAGTATGGGACGAGATTAGGCACGTACCGTTACCGTACCACAACTTTTGGTTCGGTATGAAATTTCATATTTTGTCATTACCGATCCCAAAATATTGGTACAGTACTGTTTGAGAAAAATGATGTTGGTACGGGATTTTTTCGGGATTTTCTTATTAAACAAAAAGGTATATTACACAATTGGCAATAAGAATAACAGTATAAATAGTCATCTTAAATTTAAAAAAACTACATATGAGTCACTTTTGCAAATTGTAATACTGTAGGAGTAGTACAAAAGACTAAAAAAATATTATTACAGAAGCAAATGGCAGTTGCTTCAAAAAGAGCAAAAATATAGCATTGTAGAAGCAAAAATCATTATTGAACTAAATGGCAGTAGCTTTTCCAGAAGCAAATAGCAAGCCATGATGAGTAGAGTCCTTAAACCAAGTGAAGCAAACAGATTATGTTTTCTTCAAAATAAAGTGGCAGAAGTTTTGAACCTATTAGGAAAAATAGGTATTAGGGGCTGTTTGGCAAAGCTCTGAATGATTCATTAAGAGGCTTCCTCTGACCGATTAAGAGGCTGTGGTGTTTGGTTGAAAATATTGACACCTCTGAATGATACCATACAGCACTGCCCCATTCAGCTATGTACCGTCTCTGAATAAAAATAAAGACTCCGCTACCCTCAATCCCTAATCCGATTTTGCTTCGTCTTTTCTTCTTCTCTTCTCGGATCTGCTCGCCATCGCATCGCTCTCCCCCTCTGCAATTTCTGATTTCCTCTCCTCTCATCCTCTCTTCTCTTTCCTTTTCCCTCTCCTCCACAACCCTACACCCATCGCCCCATCCGTCCCCCTCCATCGGTCATCCCCCTCCTCCTCTGCACCCTCTGACCTTCTCTCCTCTCCTTCTCTCTTCCCTTTCATTTTCCGCTCCTCAGCACCACTGCCGGTGCCAACCCATCCATCACCTTCTTCCCTCTGCATCTCTGCACCCGCCTCCCCCCCTCTTTTCCTCTGCGGTGCTTGCTCCCTCCTCTGCCAGGTACGTTTTTTGTTATTATTAGTTATTTGAAGTTTTTTTTGGTTTGTTGTATGTTGATTGTTAGAGTATTGTTGATTGTTGTATGTTGATTGTTATTCATTGTTTTTGTTGAATGTTGAAATTGTCCTTGTCCCCATCCGATTGTTGTATTGGTTTTTGTTATGCGGAAATTGACAATAGTGCTTGGCTAAACTCTAACAAAATTGGGTCCAAAACTACAAAATTGACAGATAATTAAGAACCCAATACATCAACATTGTGTACCGTCGGGCCGGGGGCGTCTCCGCCCCCCCGTACTCCCTGCTGTAATGTGTTAGATTCAAGGCATTACAACATTGTTGTATGTGAAAATATGTACATGTTTTGGTTTGTTGTATGTTAGTTTGTGTATTAGAAATATTGGATTTGATATCGGTATGAAAAGATACATGTTCATTGAGGTGCTTTAAATCCATAATTTTTAGGAACCAATATCCAAAGAAAATGGCACAAAAAAGGATGCGGATTAATTGGAAGCTAGAAGGTGTTGAAAAAACCTTTCTTGAAGCATGTATTCATGAAATAACCATCAATGGACGTGAAGGAAGCAGTCTTAAACAAGCGTCATGGAAAAGTGTAGCTGAAAAATTGAAAACA